ATTTTGGGGCCCGTTTACTTATTCTGATAGTATAATTACTATTTTTTCCGAGCCCCTTTTAATATGCACAGAATATTTTAACGTTCGAAAGTGTGGCAAATCAACTGCCATGGATTCACACTGTTCAGCAAAATTTAAACTGTTTTTTGTTTTATTAATTTTTTTTTTCTTTTGTCGGCAATTTAAAAAATACCGCAGTGATATAAAAAGATTTTTTGCTGCATTTTTTCTAGATATATTTTTTACAACATAAATATTCTGATATTTTTTTAATACATAAAAATTCAGATAAAATGTATATATACATATATATTTATTATTATCTAATGATTCTCAATTAGATTTAATATTTATGCACACCATTTGCTCATATTAAATTGCCATGTTAAATCAATAAAATTAAGTCATTTATTGACCAAATGAATAATTTTAATATACATCCCAGGGTGTGCTAAAAGAAAAAAAGCGAATTTCTAACAGAGAAAAAATTTCATTTTTTGCTTTTAACTATAGTTTGCTACTTTTATTTTTCCCAAAATGTATTTACTTTTTTATGCACATATATATTTATTTTCTCTCATCAATTTAATCACCATAACAAATCATCCCCGAAACACTTTAAATAGACATGTTTATACTGTTATACTGATTCAGCTGTTTTTTTTTTTCCATTTCGATAATTTCAACGTAAAATTTCTATCCGAAAAGAAAGAATTGTTATTGCTCTGTTAAAAACCTTGTTGCATAATGTTATTTAAGCCAATGAATAATATTCTTGAAAATTTTGTTATTGTTAAGTGTTTCCATTTGCAATTCGAAACCGGAGCCTGAGTGCTCTATTCAGCATTTTATTTGCTCAGCTCGTTCTCAATAAATATTTGCAACACAAATTGTGCTTTGGCTGGCTTTGCCTTGCTTTGCTTTGCCGTTCATATGGGAGACAATTCAGTACTTAATATTTTATTAAACCAATGACAACAGCAGCAGCCGAAATTGCAAAAGCAATAATGAAAGAAAGCAGCAATAACCCAAACTGTCCACAATGCATAAAATACGGCAACAGCAGCAGCAACAATAACAACAAGGATAACAATAACAAAACATAAAACGGAATTTGCTGGGCAACAAATTTTATTTGTTGCGAAGCGGATGAAATGGTATGGGATGTCGAGTATTAGCATTCACAAGGTCCAATAGGTTGGACGGGCCGACAGTTATTTGCCACAATCAATGAATCGACATGACATGAAATTTATGCGCATGCAGGGCCTTAAACATAAACCGATGGCCAGGCCAAATACTATGCAATGCAAACAGATGCAGCATCTGCTACAGACGGCGGCGCACCGTGCGTATGCGTAATACGTACAGCCCTGCACTTGTGTGCGCGTCAACGTGAGCCTGGCTGATGGGCGCACAGAAATGTGTGGCAAGTGGATGCCACTCTCTCTCTCTCTGTCTCAGTCGCTCCAACTGTCTCTCGCACTCACGCACTCACACAAACAGAGAGAGAGAGAGAGAGAGACACTTATAAACTCACTTGTTAGCTTTGTGTGCGTTTTATAGCTCCATGTGGGCGTGTGCCTTAGTGTTTAAGTCTGTATTGATTGTGACAGCGTTATGGTGGCGCCACAAATAAATGCCGGGCTCTTATGCTCCTCAGCTACTACGCACGGCTGTCTCGCTGCGTCTTCACTTGTGCTCGCAAAAATAAATAAAAAAAAATACAAAAACAAAAAATATAGACATTCGGTGTAGACCGTATACCGGCGAGGAGGCAGACACGGACACGAAATGCGTTCGCCACAATTGAATACGTGTCCGTTGCAGCAATTCGAGACTAAGTAAAACATTCCCAAGGCAATATTAAATAGACCCCGTCCTAGTAGGTACCCATTGAAAATCGATAAAAATAAATAGGGCATAATGAAATATTTGCAACTGTAATGAATCAATTGAGGGAATAGCTTAAATGGTTCCCTGTTAACTGAATTTGTTAATCAAGAATAAAACCTAAATTTTTTTTTATAATTATAGAGTATATTTTGCGGGTCTCCTTTTGAGCACTTCTTTCGTTTGTTGAATATATTCATGAATATATCAGCACAATTCGTTGCTTTTCTGCAGCAGTTTCTTTTTAAGAAAAGGTAAATATACTACTTTATATTCCACATTTAATATTCCATTTACATTGTCAAGTGGAGTAAATCTAAAATCGGTTTTTAGTTGAATAAAAACTGTCGGAAAAGCAAATTGTGAGCAGAGAGAATTGTTGAGTATGTTTTTCCGCTTTGATACCTAAACTGCAGCTAGTTGATTTCTGTTGTGTCACAGTCACAAAATGTTGGAAAATGATTAGATTTAAATAGAATATAAATAGCTTTTTGGCAAGAGCATAACTACCAAGAGGATCATCGAGGGTGAAAAAAAAACTAGTTGACTTCAAATCTTGTATATACGTGTCCGTTATGATATTAAAAATAGTAGAGCTGCACCATGTCATGTC